TTTCGTCTTAAAAATTTTTCTTTTCCCGGAGTTGATGTGAAATCAACGCAGTATATAAATATTGCATATTATATATAATTATATGTTGCATAATATATTATAGTTTATATAAATATGCACAGATATTCACGAAGGAACAAATTTAAAGATGCGCGTTTAATGACTGTTCAAATTCGATGAATCTGTATTCATCACGAAGAGTACCCTTTGATAACTGTGAGAAATGTGGCGGCGCAAGACCCATGAAGTCTTAAATAGTTGAGGAGTCAGTTAACATCCTTCAGTATATATGTGGCATCTATTAACAACTGATGTGTCAGGATTGTATGTTTGGGATTGGCACCCTTGGGTGCGCGTGTTTCTCTGTCTCATCGATAACGTTGTTCAGTTCTGGAATTTAACTCATAAATCGCCGAGCCTTTCAGCTATCCTGCTAGTTGGAAAATAGAACAAACCGATTTACGTTACTGGAAAGTACAATTAGGTTTGCGATTATCAAAACAATACAATAAAGTCTGATTTTCCATCTGATTCACAGGTGATGAAATTACGGTACATATAATGGATTAGTGTTGCGTTGGTGCTTTTAATCTTTCGAGGAGTTCGATTATCCACGTCGTTCTGTTTCGTAGCAGGCTTGGTTGCAGTTGGTTGTGTTCTATCTTTAGATTATTTTGCCATTCTTTTATCATATGGAAAATTTTAAGTTTTTTGGCTGCTGCAAATTTCATATTTGTAGTCTTGGTAGTTTTTATATTCAGTCTAGTCTTGATCATAGTAGTAAAGGCCAAACTCTCTTAACGATTCTTGAAGTACTGAGTAACGTTAGTAGCAGTGTGCAAGGTGACGATGTCCCTTTGCCGTCATTCGTGTTCGTCTGAGAACTTTCTTGATGTAAACCAGCCTTCAAGTGACGAATTTTGATATTTTTGCTTGTGAAATATATTCTTTTGAACGTCATTTATTCCGTTTGAACAGCCGTCAGTGGTATAAATTTCTGTACCTAATCCATTCAAGTGAAGGCGACTTTCTTCATTTTTCACGCCACATTAACTGAATGATCTATATGCAGTATTCTGGGTTGTTACGTTCTTTCGTAACGTACTCCAGCTTGTTTTATTCATAATGCAGTTCTACCTCAGTTACCAAGATCAGCGGGCAACGAGTTCTAAACCTTTTTTTACGTTCACAGCGTACTCGACCAAAATTGTCTGCGCTTTCTCTATCTTCTTGTTGGGTCAATATTTTAGCTTGAATGCGTATATCTAAGATTGGTTTTAGTGCAGTATTTTCCGGTGTTTATTTTTTTGTGAATTTCGTAATCTACGGTTTTGTTGTTGCGGCTCTAACGGTACCATGTACAGTGACTTTCATGTCTAAGTACATTTGGTTGTTGCTGTGATTAACAGCTGAAATGCGGTTGGAGTCCAAACGTTTCTAGACTTTTCCTAAAAGTCATATGGTGTGAGTTTCGTCTGCGACAGTCCCTTTCTCTTCCACTCTTTTGGTGGCGTTATAACAGAAGTAGCAAAGAAGTCGGCTTTGAGCCTCCGATATTAGAATTCGCTCAAGGAACGGTGTTTGCTTTACCGCGAATTCCACTGATCAAAGAATTAACCAAGATTCACGCTGCCAAGGATGAACGTCATCGGCATGTGGGAACATCGAAGTATGCGCACTGAAGCCCGAGCAATCTTGCAAGGAATTAATCACGCGTTGCGTCGGCCCAGTCGGCCGAGAATAAGTTAGTAAGGTGATGACTTGTAAAAATTAGGTATTCTAGTACCAGCATAGTATGCTGGTTTTATCATGCTTGAGAAGTACGCCATTATTTCTGATGCGAGTACGCCCTGTGGCTGCATTCACCTTAATAACCTAACAGTATAAAAAATCTGCATCTAGTGGATGCTGATTTCATTGCTATTCCTAATTTTTTCGCTTCCTAGCGCTTTTTTAAAATCCTTAATAAACTCGATAGGAGTTAAAGCGTATTTATGAAAGTGTGTTGCTCACGCTTTATAGATGAACGTTAACATTGCTGTGAATTTCAGAACTGTAGAAGAAAGTGTTCGTTATGTTTCTGTTTGGCGTTATTTACTGGATTTGACTTATGCTAATTGCTTTATTTTAGGTTATCAACTTAGTTTTCATCATCATGGAGAAGCCTGTTCAGTACACGAAGGTGAGTAAAGATTTTATTTCATGATCTTTTTGTTTTACGTTGCCTATGCTTTTAGGTGACGAAAATCCTTGGGCGAACAGGATCCCAGGGACAGTGCACTCAAGTAATTCTTTTTTCTTATTAATGCAATTTTTTAATATTGCCTGCATGAATTCTGAATTTACTCGTTACTTGCAAAGGTAATCATAACGAAAATATTGCTTAGCACCGTTTTTTTAATATATCGTAAAAGATGCATTCTGGCAGGCGACTGCTCACGGTTTTCACTGGGACCTTCTGCCGAATGAAATTCGCTATTGATTATGTTTCGTTACAACCAGTGTGTCCAGTGTTGACAGTCTTAGAAAATATTGTTTGTGCTGTTATTTGCTGTTTACTGCCTAGTATTTTGACATGGAAATGCAGTCCGTACTACAGATTTTATCAGAAGAGAGCGTAAGTATGGATTAGTACAAAACAAAGAGTGAGTTCGCCTGTGAGGTGATAATCCGGTGTGGAAGTTTCGGCGCTTGTTTTAATAAGCTTTCTTCTAATTAAAATTCTTGGCGCCGCTAGTGCAGTATACTTCCTAACAACAACCGACAAGCGTCACCAGTTTTACCTTGATAAAATGTCAAGACTGACTCGTTGGTATTGGTATATCACCTGGTTCACCATCTGTGTTGCGTTGTTTTACTGAGCCACCTTACCTTGCGTTATATTTCAGAATGACCGCCGTCTCATGAGAAATATGCTAAATACCCTTGCCATCGTTTATATTTTGTACCAGTCAGTTTATAGCTGCAGTTGCCCTTCTTCCAACATTTTCTCTTTTTTCTAGGTTCGAGTCGAGTTCATCGATAATCCGAAGCGTTGCATCATTCGTAACGTCAAAGGACCAGTTCGGGAAGGAGATATACTGACACTTCTTGAGTCTGAGCGTGAAGCTAGAAGACTTCGGTAGTGTTTAAGATTACCTTTCGGTTTTTCTCACACTTAAATTTTAGGTAATGCTGAGCGCTGAAAACAGACTAATGTCAGAATGCGCTATGATGAAGTATTTTGCCGGAAATAAAGTTTATCGATATTGTTGACTAAAAATATTTTTTGCCTTCGATTTAGATATTGGCACTTCAGGAATTTTTCTCCTTAATTAACTAAGAGCATGTGGTGGGATATCGTTCCTCCTTAAACTTTTGGAACAGGTCGTTATTCAGGTGCGGTTGTTCATGTATAAAGGTGCTAATATCCGGTTGGTTTAGATGCCATTTGCTAATGCCCGTACCTGCGAAGCCCAGTTGAAACAAAATGCTAAGTCCATTGCGTATTCTCATTTGTTCTTGTTAGGTAACACTATTTCATCCACTTGCAAAAACAGTTTAAATGGACCAATCTGCACGAGGTTCGAACTGGCACTTATTGTACTGCAAGTTCAGTGTGATGCAATTGAACTATTCATTCAGATGATTTCACTGCAACTTTGCAGTTATTTCAACAGCTTCGATTTATCACTAGAAACGTCACTCATTCCTAAAATCACAGCGTTTGCAAGATGAAGGATCTGCAGAGCAAATTTTTGATACTGTAATTTAACACAGCGTTTTTACGTCAAAGAGATCAACAGCAAATTCACACAACAGTTTTGCGCGCATGAAGTAATCAAATTCTGAATTTTTACTATACTTTCACTGTCACATTCTAAGACCGCTTATCCTTTCATGTCCGTTAGGGGGATCCGTCAGGCAGGACTTGCACCGTTCATGAGCCTGTGCCATCGTCTTACATCTTGAAGCGACAACGAAGTCTAGAGTAAACTTCAATACACTTGTGTCAAGTAAATATTAGCCGTCATCTGTGCCTTCTGCCGGTCTGGTGGGCAAAAAGTCGTTGCTTCGTCTTCCTTTCTGCAGCTATTCGCAACACATGCCCTAACCAAACCGTTTGATTTCTCAGTCTGAAGAAACAGTGGCTGTACACCACTGCCGTCGTCGATCTCTATTGTGGACCATGTCGAGATGCATTAGGCTAGAAACTCGTCTCAGTACCAATTTCGGACGCTTGTATCCCTGATTGAAGTTCTTCATTCATGGCCCACTACTCAAATAGGTGAAATGGAGGTTAATATTGACTTTAACATCGAGTGCGTAGCCTTCAGCTCCACTATAGTTCAGGCTAGTACATGCAGAACGCCACTAGCGATTCGAATTCACCAGCGGATCTGCTCAATTTTCCCGACCTCGAGAGAAAGTTTTCAACCTGCTCCACCACTTCTCTGTTTACCTATGTCGCGCAACGGGCAAGAAAATGAGAAAGCAGCACACTTTCCGTTTATACGTTCACACGCATGCCCGCTACGACGCATTCGGCGGATAACCGTGCTAGTGATCAGTTTTTGAAGATGCCAACAGAATAAAATTGTGTGCAGCAAGTAACTTTATCTTTCTCACGACCCTTCTGCTGATACACTTGTCGCTTTGTCTGCACCTGACTATTCTTTTCACGCAAAACAAATAGAAAAATAGGTACAGCCCAGACAACGCGACGACCAGTGACATCATTTCAAGGGCTCGAGTTAACGTCGTTTAAAATGACCCACGCATGCTATCGTGACTGGGTGATTCATAGTAGTCGACCATCGACTTCGTATGTTCCGCGGGATGCCCAAGGCTGTTCCTCGGAATCCGTTCAAAAGCTCTTTCCAGGACATCAAAGCAAATAAACAGCATGAGCGGATTCCCGTGATATTCTCAATGATATGACATAGATTTCGTCAGAAATACTTCAGCGAAACTACGCTGCTGCCTGTCCCAAGTCCGAATGAGAAATGAGGAGGGTTCGAGACCGTGGTAAGTCCCCGTAAAATTTAGCCACCTGCGACTCATTACTGGCGCCATTAAAAACCTACCAACTCGGTCGTCGCCCGGGTTACCAGGGGCCGCACAGGCTGTTGGGGGACTGAGTGAGACTGCGAAAAGTCGGTAATCAGAACCTGCTCATTGCCCTCGGCCAGCCGGGGGCGTGGCAGAACAATGACTGCTGACGGAACGACGACGAAGATACAAGTCAGCAACGAAGACGCTACCCGTTTTGAACGGAG